AGTGAATGTAACAAACTCTACTGGAATTTGAACTTGGCTCTCCGATTTCTCAACCAGAGCTGCTATCCATTCCACCACCTGTACATCCACTTCTCTATTTAATTTCCTAATATTAGCTTTTTCCAATGTTTTTTTTTCTTGCTGGTTAATTCACTTTTCCTTTTACCGTTTAATATTTCTCATTTAAATCCATTTTTGTGACATCCTTAAAAAGATATTTGTTCCCATTCTCATCTTGCCAATGTTTTTAGTTTTTTAATATTCTGCCATTTCTGTTCAACTTTTTTGCACTTTCCAACGTGTTTCTATCACTCAATACTTTACAATATCCAGGTTCCCTTTTGAAATTAAAGCTTTCTTACGACCCATTAACCTAAAAACTTGAGTCGTGTTTTTAAATAGCCTCATCAGATCAAGACTTTCATACGGATATCATGCATGGCGCCAGACATTCAGAAATATTTGAACTCTCAGCTGTATACATCTGCTTTCTAAGATCAATGCTTAAAAATGGTTTCAAGCAAATGAAGTCTGTAGATCTTGGTGAAGATCACTTTTCTTTGGAACTTATCAAAGAACTGTACCAAATAACAGAAACCACATCATTTGAGGACTTTCAACAGCAGCAACAATGAAAATGGATAGCACATTATTATAAAGCTCATAATATTCTAAGGGAAACACAGGAACCAAAGATTAGTTGAAACTGTTTAATCGCGTGGATTAATCTCTATCTATAAAAGGCAGGATGTGTGTGTGTGTGTGTGTGTAACGAATGCACGGCCGCAATTTTCGACGGATCTGCACCAAAATTTACATGCACATGCTCCAAGTTATTAGAAAGGCCAAGAGCGACTTTTCATTTCCCAAAACCCATCGACAGTGGAAATAATCGATTTTTTCATGCTTCTACGGCAGTTTTCATGTAGTTTGCGGCCATTTTGTACTGGCCAATAGTTGGCTGCCACGAATAGGCAGGGAGATTCTATTGGCCAGCGGGAGAGCCAAGACTGACACGAATGTTAACTAGCATGCTAGCATGCAAAAAAAAAAAATCGATAGCTGCATTCGTCACAAGTGGGAAAAATTGAAATTTGCATGGCACTTTACTCCGATTGGCTCATTCGCTTGCTTAAACTCAACGTTGATTCTGATTCCGCAGAACTGGGTTGGGTGTGAAAAAGTATTTGTTGTTAACATTCTTTTTTCATTCGGTTTTTCCAGTTACGAGTCCTTTTTTAAAGCTGATCATTTTGTGTTCATTTTGTTTAGTTCTTTTTTCGTAACAGATTTAATGTTTAGTATAGAGCTTAGAAAAATTCGCCGTGTGAGATAGGCAAGAAGTAAGGCATGTAGCAACATCAGCACGGCAAAGGGCACTCCTTTAAAGGCAAGGAAGGGCAAAAATATTTTAAGTCAAGTGATAGCGATTGCTGAATGAGTCGTACGATATTTGAATCAAGCACGGGCAACGCCGGGCCATGCTGCTAGTAATACAATAACAGAGAACACTATTGTTAGTGTGGTAATGTATATGACCCACATTGTGACCATTTTTCTATGAGCTGACGTTCCTCTCACAGTCAATGGAAGAGTTTATGTTGAACAATTTAGTGTAGCGAAGGTTAGTCGTCATTATACGCAACAAAACACTAAGGGGGAAAAAAACTTCTCAGATTACTTTAATGAAAATATTTGTAGAAAAGACTGGATCCAAGAAGACAGAAGATCACAATTGACGTTGCATTTAAATTTTTGAAGATCGTAGTTATCAGGGAAGCAAGAAATCAGAAGCGAGTTCCTCAAGTGGAAAGTGCAAGAAAAGCGACTTTTACAACAGGAGAGACGGTTGCATCAAAACGTTGAGACCTAGCTGCCAGTCTAGTAGCACGCTTAAATTCCTGCAGTTGAGTCAAAATGTGAAAAATCTAATCAGAACAGTAGCCATGAAAATATTAGTGGAAAAGACAGTGGGAATCCATGTTAAGTCGGTGAGAAAGTGACTGAAGTCGAGATGCCTGATCAGGATCGATTAAATTGTAGATCCTTCTTTGAATTTTATCATTCAGCAAATTATTAAGAAACATGAAAAATTCGTTAGAAACAATGAAAAGAATTCTGAACTGTTATTTAATATCGATCCTCCAGCCATTCACTGCCATATAGGAGGACTGATATTACATAACAGTTCAGTACTCTTTTCTTTGTTTCTGTTGCTTCAAGTCTCTTCATCTGGGAGGAGGTTTTCCAGGATTCACTGCCATATAAGATGACTGATATTACATAACAGTTCAGTACTCCTTTCTTTGTTTCTGTTGCTTTAAGTCTCTTCTTTATCTGTGAGGAGATTGTCCAGCATTCACTGCCATATAGGCGGACTGATATTACATAACTGTTCAGTAGTCTTTTCTTTGTTTCTCTTGCTTCAAGTCCCTTCTTCTGTGAGGAGATTGTCCAGCATTCACTGCCATATAGGAGGACTGATATTATATAACAGTTCAGTACTCTTTTCTTTGTTTCTCTTGCTTCAAGTCGATTCTTGATCTGTGAGGAGATTGTCCAGCATTCACTGCCATATAGGAGGACTGATATCACGTAACAGTTCAATCATTTTTTCATTGTTTCTAACGAATATTTCCTTTTCATACTGTTTTGCAGGATGCTTCAAACCAAAAACAATATTTCAGATTTTGTTTTTGGCGGTAATATTGGTTTAGTGATACAAGCAAGTCTTGCTAATTAGCCTATAGATGGGGAGCAAGAAATGAATACATAACTTTCCCAGGGCTATTTGCGTTTAAGCGAATATAACGAACCTAACTGGAATTGGAACTCGACGCTCCGATTACGAATTACGTACGAATACATCAACCGCACATCTAAGCTCACAGGTATTATGAAGCAGTTACCCATCCAGTTACTGACCGGGCTCGACGTTTCTTAGCATTTGTTATCGCTCTCGTTTGTTTAATGAATTACATTTTCTTTCCATCCATAAAAATTTAGTTTGAAGAATTCTTTTTAAAGGAAAAAAGGCATAATTTAGGATTTTGTCATTCAGTTATCCACCTTTAGTTTGATTTTTTTAAGAATTTCACCTACTAGCATGCAACGGATTACAGAGAGTGAGAGCGAGATTAAAGAGATGTGATAGAGGGAAGGATGAAGAGAAGGACAGGGAATAGATCAAGGCATCTGGAGATGTCGATTGGCATTACATTCAAATAGTTGGAGATTATAGCTATCAGGGAAACAAGTAATAGAAAGGGAATCCCACGGATATAAGAGAAAGCCGGATATAAGAGAGATTTTCTCTGGTCCCAAATTAGAGCCCATACTTACCGAAACAAAATAGACCAAACCCGGATATAAGAGACTTCTCCGGTCCCGACAACTCTCTTATATCCGGGTTACACTGAATATATATATATATGAAAGTATATGTTAAAAATAAAATAAGAACATCAAGTTTTGTAAAAAAATTAGCAGCAGTAGATTTTTGTAAAAAGAGAAAATACTCAATATCTATCTATCTATAACTTCTCTCTCTCTCTCTCTCTCTCTCTCTCTCTATCTATCTATCTATCTATCTATCTGATTCTGTTTCTTTCTATCTATCTATCTATCTATCTATCTACCTATCTATCTATCTGATTCTGTTTCTATCTATCTATCTATTTGGCCAAGAAAATTAAATTTCGGCCTTAAATGAGAAGCAAATGCACTAATCAATTTAACAGTAACTCTTTTCCTACAGTGGCTCACAAGTCTTGCACTGAAGGAAGGTTATTGTGAAAATATTTAAACAGTTTACTTTCAATCGACCATGTGTAAAAATTAGTTTTTTTAAAACACTAATAAACTGTATCTGCTATATTAATACTATTATTAAAAAAAAGATTTGTTTGTTTTTATTCATCATCAAGGGGAGTTGAATCAATTAGGAAATTATGTTTTAATGTTTATCGACGTCAGTTGTACTTACACCGGACAGTCGAGCTAGTGCATTTTTGTACGTCTTTTTAATGAAGCGTCGTGAAGCTGGTTCGGTAATACTCTAATATGGCGCTCAGCCAGCCTCTTCTTTGTCTCTTATCAGAGAAATATGGCCACTATCCATTCCCCTTATATTCTGAGAGTAGTTTTAGATGGCCCCTGATATTCTGGCGTGATGTAAAGTTGTCATGAGGATGATGATGATGATGATGCTGTCTTTTTCAAGATCGCCGTGGCTGGCATCTTCGAGATTAAACGTCACAAAATATAATTATCAGGAATCTAATACAGAAGGGGCAGCTGCTTTATTTGCACCACGAAAAACGAAAAAAAAAAAGCTACATCCACACATATAATTGCATCAGTATTTATAATAACTACTGTCTCAGTGTTCATATCTATCTATCTATCTATCTATCTATCGCGGTCTGTTCATATATATCTATTCATCTCTGTTTGTCTGTCTGTCTGTCTGTAGTGTCATATAGGAAGAAAATGAGTAACTACCGACCCCGAGGTTTGATCGTGACACTCTGGACTTATAAATATATGTTTTCCACCAGGTGTATAAATAGTGATATAAGGCTGCTGACTGGAGTGATTATTGATTGACTTTTGAGTGGAACTATCAAGTCGAATTAGTGTGAATTATTGTGCGTCGAAAATTTGGGTTTTAATTTAAGATTTACTGGGGGTTAAGCCTAGTGGCGCTACTAACAAAGTATTCACTGAAATGGTTAATTATCTTTCGTTGACTTTTATTTCTTTGTTCTTGTTAAGTATTTATTTGCGGCTGTAATTAAATACTGTTTTATCTTAACATTGAAATCTTGAGTTAAACTTCATTATTATCGGCCACCGTACGTCACAAAAGAGAGGTAATAAGAAGTGATAGATAGATAGACAGATTGATAGATTAAGAGACGTGATAGATAATGAGAAGTGATAGATTTAAAATACTTTCTTTCCATGAAATGAATTCATTACATGTTTTTATTCATAACTTATACATAGATACATGGATAGATAGATAGATAGATAGATAGATAGATAGATAGATAGATAGATATGAAAGGACTGAAATAGATAGATAGATAAGAACAGACTAGGACTGAAAACAAAAAAATATACTAACAAACATAGATAGATATATAAATATTAACAGATAAAAATATAAATCGAAAATAAATAGATATGAACAAATAGATAGATAGATAGATAGATAGATAGATAGGATAATGAACAAACTGAGATAGATAGATAGATACAAATAGATGAGATAAATAGATGAATAGAATGAACAGACTGAGATCGAGATAGAGTGAGACAAAAAAAAGATAGATAGATAGATAGATAGATAGATATTAACAGACATATATAGATATATAGATAAATCGATAAATAGATATGAACAAAAATAGATAGATAGATAGATAGATAGATAGATCAGATAGATAGATAGATAATGAACAAACTGAGATAGATAGATAGATTCTATAGTGATAAATAATAATAGATAGATATGAACAGACTGAGATCGCAGATATATAGTGATAAACAAAAAATATAGATATGAACAAACTGATAGATAGATAGATAGATAGATAGATAGATAGATAGATAGATAGATAGATAGATTTAAAATGCTTTCTTTCTATGAAGCGAATTCATTACATCCTTTTATTCATAACTTATACATATTTTGAAACGTAATTCCAGTCTTGGAATTCGATTCCGAAAGAGTTACCTCCCCCTGTATCCATTCAGTGATGAACCCTTCAGCCAAACAGTCTGAGACATTTGTTTTTTGTCTCGTTCGCTTTCGCTTAAAAAACATCTTTGAAAACTGTCGCTTTTCAACCAAAGGAAAAAACGACTGAGACACAACGATTGTTACGGCTTTAATCTTGATGTTGTACTTTGGATTTCTCTGTATTGATTTTATTTCATATCTTTTTAGAAGGCCGATATGACATAAAATATACGTTTATTTAAAAAACATTATTGGATAGCAATAGATTCTTGCAAAATCTACATATAACGAAGAAATGTGGTAGTGTCACGCGACAACTTTGGTTCTAGACGGACCAATTTTTGAAAGACTAAAATGAGAAACTAATGAGCAGAATTTTCATAAGGGTGACATATTTAAATAAACGCCGGCTAAAGACATTAAACTTTAACCTCAAGTAACCAGTCTCTTTTCAGTGTGTATATTCATCGTCTCAACTATCAACTAAAATATTTCATCACTTCCAGTAACGCTTTATACAATAAACCCATATACCGGTTTCTTAAAAAAAAATACAGTCCGTTAGACGCTTCCGCAAATGTCCCGTGTCTCCCTGGGTGTATGTGTATATGCATATCTACACACACATGTTAAACGAAAGAATGAACGCGGCTGAGAAACTTAATCAGTTAGCATCCAGTCTCTTTTCAGTGTGTATATTCATCATCTCAACTATAGACTAAAATATTTCATCACTTCCAGTAACGCTTTATACAATAAACCCATTTTCTTCAAAAATACAACCTGTTAAATAGAGACTGGTTACCGCACGATCACCGAAGTTAAGCAACGTTGAACCAGGTCAGTAGCTATATAGGTGACCTCTGGGGAATACCAGGTTCTGTCAGCTTTGATGTATGGATGGTGTAATGGATAAAGGCACAGAATAAACATTTGGAGAGCCGAGTTCGAATTCCAATCGAGTTCGTTATATTCCCTTAGCTGCAAATACTATTGGCAGAAGCATGAACCCATCTCTTTCCTCCCAGATATGGGTTAAATAGTAACAGAAAATCATTATTATCTCAAAAAACATTCTTACAATCTAAAAATCTGTTCGGCTTTATTTGAAGGTTGATAAACCGTGAAAAATAAATAAATATCAAAATAATCTACCAGTTAGCGTCCAGTTTCTTTGCCATTTTCATATTTGCTGCCTAAACTAGCAATTAATATATTTCACTCCCAGAAACTCTATGTTATAAAACCCATTTCAGTTCCTTTAGGCTTAAAGCAATATGACGTTGAAATGCCAGTTCTCGTATGATCCTCGAAGTTAAGCAACGTGGAGTCTGGTCAGTACTTAGATGGGTGACTGCTTAGGAATACCGGGTGCTGTAATCCTGCATGTGCTTGTTGGTGTCATGATTGGTTAGCATCAGCCATGATGATGGCAGACGGAAAAGTTATCTGTGTCTCAACTAGCTATTCATTGGAGGTCCTTTTCAAGAGCAGCTGCCACGTTTGGTTTATCAGATCTGTCGGATTTGCTACTGAGACAAGAGTAAATGGTAGAGTCTTCCACATAAATACCTAGCTGGGAATGGGATGGAACCTTCCGGTGAGCCCATTTGTCGTGGACGATTCGGCATGGCCGACTCGATATCAGAGTTTTTCGGCAGAGGGACGATTAGGCATCAGATTACTACTTCGTCGTTGCAGTCAAACTTGTTCTCTTTCTCTCTCTCTTTCTCTCGCTCCCTTTTTCTCTCTCTCTCTCCCTTTCTCTCTCTCTCTCTCTTTCTTTCCCTCGTTTAACTGTCAAATTAGTACTTCGTCTTTATATTATCGAATAATCCAATTTAAGAAAAGGAGTAGTTGGAGGCATTTTTATATTTAAGAAAAAGTATTTGGATGTATTTTAATATTTAAGGAAAAGAGTATTTGGAGGCATTTTTATATTTAAGAAAAGCAGAAGTTGGAGCCATTTTAATATTTAAGGAAAAGAGTATTTGGAGGCATTTTTATATTCAAGAAAAGGAGTAGTTGGAGGCATTTTTATATTTCAGAAAAAGAGTATTTGGAGGCATTTTAATATTTGAGAAAAAGAGTATTTGGAGGCATTTTAATATTTAAGAAAAGGAGTATTTGGAGGCATTTTTATATTTAAGAAAAAGAGTATATGGAGGCATTTTTATATTTAAGAAAAAGAATATTTGGAGGCATTTTTATATTTAAGAAAAGGAGTAGTTGGAGGCATTTTTATATTTAAGAAAAAGAATATTTGTAGGCATTTCAACAAACAAAATAATAAACGATCGAAATTTTTTTTAATTTTTAACGCATCGAGCAAGAGGTATCGTGAATTAAAGTTTTGGCGGTGTGAACAGAAATATCGAAGTAAAGTGAGTTTACATATGAAGGATTTTTAATTTACATTATTCCATTAGCGTTTTAATAGGATTCTTAATTCCGTCAATGAATAAAAAGCCATATTAAATGATTTTGTCCTATGGTGGGGGTGGGGGCTCCGGTCAAAGACAGTGACGTCGAAACAGTCTGACGCCTAAACAGCTGTGCTGAATAATTCAATTAATTTTTCTGACGCCGAATCACCGACGCTAAATGGGCTACGCCGAAACGTACCAAACTCGTTAAAACAGCGTGATGCTCGTTGCAGTAGAGACTTTGTAATCGCAACTGTAACTAAGCAACGACATTAAACAATACTGGTGTCAGATGCCTTTGAATAACACTCACACTAATAGTACTTGGTCGATAATACTCGCTCAAATAGTAATCTGTATAAATAGAGAAATAGTATAGTGAATAGAGAGGAGAATAGCGATACGCATAGTAATAGAGGACAGACTAGAAATAGTGATCAATTAAACGTCACGCTACCTCCCATATAGGCGTTTCCTCTATGGTCACGTGGCCTACTTAATTCAATAAAGGGGTCGCCTGTGTTTGCTCACTGGCGATCTATTTTCAAACACAAGTATCGGCAGTGATACTTTATTCCTATATAACACTATTAAACTGATTTCCCCCACCTGACAAAAATTCATTTTTTACTCTATTTTGCATTCAGAAATACCTCTCTTAAGTAAAAACGTACATAACATTGGAAATATTAAAGGGATTCATTCAGAGTGGAAATATAACACATTGATTACCCTTTTAGGAGACTCTCAAAGTCAGGTGGATCCTAAACAATTTTATCTAGGCCTGTTTTTTTTACGACAACCAATTGTAAAGTCTAGGTATGACAACTTCAGTGCAAAAGCCCACTGTCCACAAGTACAGAAAAATAAAACGGAAGAATAAATAAAGAAATGAAAACTTTCGGGATCAAGTGCCACTCAACGGGAAAGTAACGAATTCCGGTCGATTGTCTTATATAGGGAGATCCACAATTAGTGTAAGTTAACTACGGGAGGTGGGGGATACAAGTCGTTGATTGAGATGTAATCACAGGTAGTCAGAGTGATAGGGAGATAGATGATTAGATAAAGACTGATGCAGAGTTGTAGGTGGGTACTAAAGATTCTCTAAAACATCGTCTAACTTGGAAATCTTAGCAATTTTTGTCTTTTTAATACCCATACCTGCCGTTTCGCTATATACAAGCACATCAGTTAGGTGACTCATTGTCTCTGCCCTCATTTGTCTTCATTATATCTTGTGAGTGTCAAACATTTCAAGCTCCCATTCTTCATTACATGTCCCAGAAATTTTAGCTGTCACTGATTTTAAGTGTCCTCATTGTTTCCATTTAGCTTAAGACTTCCTTGTTGTTCAAATGTTTAGTCCATGGTATTCTCAGCATGTTTCTGTAGAACCACATCTCTGTTGCTTCAAGTCTCTTCTTCATCTGTGAGGAAATCATCTAAAATTCACTGCCATATTTGTTTTAATCATTTCACTCCAAGCAAGACAAGAAAGCCACTAAGACGCAAGGGGGGTTATTAGTGTGGTATAATATGAGGAAAGAAAACACCGTTAAGGAAAAAAACAGGAATAAGAAAACAGAAGATAACGATTGACATTGCATTTAAATTTTTGAAGGTCAAAGGCAATAAAGCTACTAGGATGCAAGGGGTTACTGAGTGTTAGAGAATATGAGAAAAACTACTTGAATTAAGAAGAGAAGAGATAACAATTGAAATGACATTTACATTTTTTAAGATCAAAGCTCACTGGGAAGAAATAAGTCGGAAGAAAGTTCCACAAGCGAGAAGTGCGATGGAAGAAACTGTTATTATAGAACTTACGGTTAATCTAGCCCCATGAACTGCAAATTGATAAGACCTATCCGCCAATCTAATACTGCGCTTAAATTGATAAAGACGAGGGAGAAGGTAGAAAGGTCATCCGAACAATTATTATGAAAAGATTTATAGAAAAGGCAGAGGGAAGCTACGTTATGGCGGTGGGAAAGTAACTGAAACTGAGATGCCAGGTCAAGACCAACAACATTGCAGATTCTCCTTTGTATTTTATCAAGAATCTTTAAATATATAGCAGACTCACCGGACCAGATGTAGCAGCAACATTCAACGCATGGACGAATGGTAGACTTATAAATATGTAAGATAGATACTTATTTGGATTTTATCAATAATCTCTAAATATATAGCAGAAGCACCAGACCAGATGTGGCAGCAATTTTCAAAACAAAGATGAATGGTAGAGTTATAAATATGTGAGATAGATTCTTCTTTGGATTTTATCAAGAATCTTTAAATATATAGCTGAAGCACCAGACCAGATGTGGGAGCAATATTCAAAGCAAAGATGAAGGGTGACTTATAAATATTCAAGATAGATTCTGGCAAGAAAAAATGTCTAGCACGACATAGCGAACTAACTTTCCTAGCAGCTGGCCTAGCAATTAATTCAGTATAATCTTTTCGTTCATGTCATATTGGACGATTTATATTACATAGCATATCGACACTCTTTGTTTCTTTGTTACTGACACCATTTTTTGCTTCTGTTTCTTCATTCGTTGTTTAATTTTTGGAAGGCATCATTTGTTCGTTTAAGTAAATTATACTTTTTCTCTGTTTTGCTATTTTTTTGATCATTGTTCATTTTTTTTTTTTTAGATTGAGAAGTGAAATACCTTTGATCGTTCAAGTGGACGTACAGCTTTTAAGGTTGATCGTCTGAGTAATAAAATACAATTAATTTGTTTTAATTTGTTGAAATTGGATTTAATGCAAAGTTAAGTTGAATCCTTTGAAAGTATTGCATGAAATTAGTAATTTTTTTCATTGATTCCAAACGAAGAAAGTATTTTTCTACAGCTTTTAGAAACATGTAGATCGTTTCGAAGTAAACAAGGACAGAAACATTCAGAACAAATGCTTCACAAATTCAGAACAAATGCTTGCACACGCATGCGCATACGCATGCGCACACGAACAGAGGAATTAACGTAAGCATTAACGTCATTCTTAACAGGGAATAACTGAAAGAGAGAAAGTAACTTTACTGTTTATACATCCAAATTATTTTTGATACTAGAGTTCACCAGACACAAGGCATAAGAGCCACTCAAGGTAAAAGGTTACTGAATAAGTGACATGAATGTAAGCGGAGGTGTGAAGAAGTGAAGATTATGAGGATAAGGAGGATAGATAACGATTCCTCCTTTATTTGAGGATGTTAAGATTTTAGTGTTGAGGGAAGCATTCACACAGGAGTCTGTTCCGTAAGGAAGTGGTTCTTTGGAAGAAAGCTGTTTGAGTGGAATACGGAGGAAACGGGGCTGATTTGACTCCATAGCATGTTTCCCTCGTGAGGTTCTGAATTATTATAAATGCTTAGTGTACTCGGATTGCACCCAGTCTATCAAGTTCGAAGAAGGATGGTCCTCACTAATACCTGCAGCTTCCATTCGCACAAAGCCATTTTAAATCATTGATCTGAGGAAGCAGTTGTATAAACAATAGCATTCTCAGATCAATGCTTTGAATGTTTCTACGACAACAATCAAAAATACCCTGAACATGTCTGGCTTAGGAGTTCGGCGCCTGCGTGGGAAGCCGTTACTGAAATCAAAGCGCAGAGAAGCCCCTTTTTAATATTTGCCCCCAGTTTTCTGTGAGGAAATTGTCCAGCATTCACTGCCAGATAATCATATTAATATTGCATAACAGTTTTTCTTTCTTTTTCACTAAAATTTCTTGTTTCTTAGTACTTTGCTTAGCTTTCAGAAGGCACATTTTCCACTAAAAATTATAAAATGAAATTTAAAGTTTCATTAAAATGTGGTATTGATTTGATTTGTTTGTTTAACGGTATATCAACACCTTATGGGTCATTTATTGGCGTAATTTAATTTTTCTGGTAGCTTTGAAATAATAATATGTTCTTCTGTTTTCACAATTGA